GTTAAGGGCTTTAAGGGTTTGGGGGGTGTTGGGTTGAGAGTCTAGGGTTAAGGGCTTCAGGCATCTGGACGAGTTTAGGTTGTAGGATTTAGGGCTCAGGGTTTAGGGATTCAGGATTCAGGGCTGAGGGTTTAGTGTTTTGCATCAGGAACTAGGGCTTTCTAAGGTCCAGGGTTTAAAGTTTAGAGCCAGTCTAGGGCCTGGGATCGCATGTAGGCTTTAGGTGAAGGAGTTCAAAAATGTCACGAAACAAAGAAGGGGCCTTGCAAAGGCCGATTGCGTTCCCCCACCTCCTCAAACATGAACACCATGATTATAATCAGTGTGACCTTAGGGGTTACCAAAATGCTCTTATTACCAAGAGCTGTCATCCTTGTAAACAAGGGGCGCTATACGCGTGTCCAGATTTGTTTTGAGGACGACCGGATCTACTTTGGGACAAGAGTCCAGTAGTCTGGAGATAGGTAGTGGAGGTGTGTAATTGAGAGAAAATTGCAATGCTGGGTTTACAGCTCGAGGATATCACTCTAACCAACTCACCTTCCCGCTGTCACTTTGGGGAAGGTAAGATGGTTAGAATGATAGCATAGTCGTTCCAAGAAAAGTGGTGCTAGTATCTACCAAAGCCGCAAGAGTCCTAGCCACAGCGAGCAGATCATGATGGCGTCAGCATCACTGGTACCCGCATAATTGGAACCTGCAATGAGGGACAGCAAGGACGGCAAGTTACACACTGGTGTACTGTCAACTGTACTGTTGCAACATCTGCTCCTAAACCCCAATAAATCCTGAAGCCTAGACCCCAGACCCCTGAGTCCTAAGCCCTAAGCACTTAAAACCCAAAACTGGCTCCTGAAGTCATGGCATCATCCTGCCAGGAGTGGATGCAGACATCCGCGCACCCGCGTGCATTGCAGCATCGTCGTCGCAATGAAGCTCGACACTGCTGTGGGCATGTCATGATACTGTGGGTTACAGGCAGTACAGAAGGGCATAGGGGCTACAGGGGTGAAAAGGGTGTACGGCTAAGGTTTTCGGACTTAGGGTTTGAGGGTGTTGAGTTTAGGGTTTCGGGTTATACTCTCCCCAAGCTAACGTGGAACCCCATATTGGCCCTGTTTACTAGGATGGTGGCTCTTCAAAGGCTTGTTTCAGGGCTCGATCTTGGTTTGGAAGAGGCAGGTTTCTGAAAGTCATGGGCCCTTCCACCTTTAAACCCTAAACCCCTGAAGCCTAAACCCTCCTTTGGTAACGCCGAGCTGTGGGATACCTAGGTACTCTATTAGTTGGGATTTGTGGTATTCTGGTATGGTGTTTTGGGTTTAGGTGTAGGGTTTAGGGTTTGATCTAGCGCTCAAGCAGAGTTGGTCATGCCACAAAATCGCTTCGAGCGTGCCGTGCTGTGCGACATGCTGCTGTGGCTTGACCGCGGCTGGCCATCTAACACATTCACCCACCCCCAAGCAGGCCTGCCTTTTTGTTGTGTTTGGATTTTTGTTTTAGGTTGAGAAATTGAGCCGCTGCCACCCCTGTCCAGGTTCTCACAGGCCTCCTCGTCCTCAGATCCACTCGCAAGGGAGCCCTAGCCCTGCCCAGAAAGGGCACCGGAGGGGGGGGGGGGGTGCCAGGAAAGTATTGGGAAGGGGACTCGTATGTGGGTGCTAGCATTCTCGTATAAGGCAGGTCCAGGTATGTCGGCCTGCGCCATGGATGTCGAGGGGGCCCAGGCGCCGCCCACCATCGTAGATGGGCGGCTTAAGCCATGAGTTTAGGGGTTTAGGGTTTAGGGGGTTTGGGTTTTAGAGTTTGGGGTCATTTCAAGGTAGAAAGTACTTGGGGGCATCAGCTGTTGTAGCATTGAAGAGAAGGGGGGCGAAAGGAACTGGAGCAACCCAAATAGGTCCGCATGTCTTTCCTGCTGCATGATGGTTCATGATGTGAGAGTTTTTCAAAAACGGTATCCTCAGCGGGGATCCAAGGGGCATACAGGGACTGAGAAGTTCCCATATACCCTTCCCGAACTAACACTGCGAGTCCCAAAATGGAGGGCCTATGTCTGCTTCAATGGTTTTGCGGGGGGAGGGCCGGCAAAAGTGGTTACTTCTCAAGCGGGCTGCGTTTTTACAAACATGGTCTTTGGTTTGCAATGGGAGGTTCCACAAATTGACGGCACCAAAAGCTTATCACAGACATTGACAACAAATCTCCTGATTTGCGAAAACCCCATATTCGTTTTGCCCATTGTCAACACGATTGTGTCTTCTGTCGTCTTGCCGGAATGCTCATGCGACAGGTGCCGATCTTCTGATAGTGGTGTCCAACACTTGTGATGGGTGAATACAGAAGAAATAGAAGCCTCCGTAAATGCTAATATCATTCGCTTGTAATCCTTATGGACCTGTATCGCGCCGTAGTGCAACCTACCACAAAATCCTCTTCCAGTTACATAAGCCGATCCTGGAGAAAGGAGGGTGCGAGAGTGGAGTATGGAGAGGAGGGTGGAGAGGAGGGTGGAGAGTGAAGCGTGGAGAGTGGAGAATGGAAAGTGGTGGACTGGAGTGTGGAGAGTGGAGTGCAGAGCATAAAGTGTGGAGAGTGGAGTTGAAGGTGGAGAGTAGAGAGTGGAGAATGCAGAGTGGAGGGTGTGGGAAGGTCAGTGTGGAGAATGGAGTGGGAAGTGGTGGAGTGGAGAGTGTGGTGTGGAGAGTGGACTGTGGAAAGTGGTAGGTAGAGTGGAGAGTTTAGAGAGGAGAGTGGGGCACGGGGAGTGGATATGGAGAGTGCAGTGTGGAGGGTGGATGGAGTGGAGAGAGGAGCGTGGAGAAGGGCGAGTGGAGAGTAGAGAGTGGAGAGTGAATTGCTTTCGTCATGTGCTCTGCGTATCGTAACGTGCACGACGCGTCAAATCTCTTTGACTAATGCGAATTACGTGTCGCGCGTCTGCAATCGGGTTCGTGGACTTCTATCAGGTTTGAGTGGGCGCCAGAGTCTGTCGAGGTAGTAGGAGAGGGCTTTGTCCGTCCCAGCCCAGCCTTGCGCCGCCATTTAGGGTTGGGTTTAGGGTTTCTCACCATCTCTGTCCTCTTTCCGGTCCTTTTCATTAGGGCTTGTTTTCTTATGGCATGGAGGAAAAACAGTGTGCAAAGGCTTGGCACGTGCCAGCGAGTCAGGCCCATGTCAGTGGATGGCTGACGATAATTCGTGCCAGCATGCCAGCAGCTTTCATTACACTCCAAAGTTCTTTGTTTGCTTGCTCTTGCACGGTAGGTGTCTGCCAGCTTTGGCGATCAGATTGTAGTTTCTCGTATCCTCGTCGACGAAGCCATGACCGGACCACCACCACAACAAGAGTAGCTACAATCACAGCAGCCCTTATGATCGCTGCTTCCAATGCTTCATACGGCTTCTAAGGTGCGCGAAGTCCAACGCCTAGCGGCTGTTGGAGACACATCCTACACCCGCCGAGTGGCAAAGAAGCGCGTCCGCCAGGCAGGTTTTTTGTGTTTCGGGTTTTCTGGTTGAGCACAAACGCAACCTTCTAAACCGTAAATGCCATAAGTCCTTGGGCCTCACTGCCCATCCCAAACCTTCCGACACCTAAAGAATTTCTCAGACCAGAACATCCACAGCCTTCAAACCTCCCAAATCTCATGTTCCCACATACCCTCTGCAACCCTAGCATCAATCAATCAATCAATCAAACTTTTTTGGGGGGTCTAAGACATGTCCTCCAACTGTCGCGATCAACAACGAGCCCTGTACAACCGTCAAGACATGCAGTTGTCATGCTGGCAGCCAGCACGTGTTGTTTTGGTGTTGTTGATGGACACAGTCCTGCGCGACCTCATATACTCCTAAAGACTCGTCGGGAATCATGGTACCATGATTTGGATATTGCCCTCTCAGCAACAGCTGGAAAATACGCAGAATATGAACACAGGAAGTCGTTGACATTGCCCTACTATAGACACTTACTGGGTGGAGGCAGCACCCAAAAGGTCAAGCGGCATTCGTCCATCAACAGTACGCCCTGGAACAAGGAATTCAATGTTGAACGCTAGGCCCTAGTATGAGCTTTGTTGGAAAGATGATATAACCAAAACCCTATACCGGGGCTATAAGATCTTCTCGAAGGCTTATAACAACCTCTAAAGGGGCTGAAGGATCCTCAAAAGATGTTACAACGCCCATACCAGTGGAACCTACGCCCTACGTTCTAAATAAATCACGCAGCTTACATGTAAGAATGCTGGTGAGTGTATATACACGGTGTCGTTTTCGTGACCACAGACAGAGTGGTACCTGGTGAACCCAACTCCCAACATGGCAGCTCAGTGACTATCCTACAACGTCATTGCAGGTTCAGACCACGAGACCCAGATGAGCTATAGTCTAAACTCCTTTAAAGGGGGTTATATAGGGGATTATATCGGGGATTACTACAGAGGTGATGAGGGGGGATACTAGGAGTTTTTAGACTACAGCTCACATGGCATGTTGCATGCGTTGTTTTGAAATTCCAAAGCAGCATTTTAGCATTCAAGCAGATGTTTCACACTATGTAGATTACTCAGGCGGGCCCATGGCTTGATTTCACATCAAGTGGAAAGGTCAAGTTTAAAAGTTCATGCTTTATCGCCCCAATCCCCATCCGGATTCAAGAAGCCTTGGAACGAAGGAAAGCAGAAAATGCAGTCTCGTTTCCGTTTTTCAATTAGAACCTATATAGCCTCAAACCTACGATCCTCAACCCTGGATACTAAAGCCTAAGTGATCATGAGCTCACTCGAGTTCACTTTGGATTGTGGTGTATGCTCGGAGGGTCATGGGACTTGGCAAGTAGGTTAATCATCGGGATGTTTGGAGTTGTGAGCTGTGATATGGGGCTTCTAAGTATACTTACTACTAAGTCCGCTTGACTCTCCAAGTATAGAGTCTAAGCCCCAACTTGCCTTTTTACAGGTTCCGGAAGTGTGACAAGCCCACAAGTATGCAGAAAGCCCCATGTAAGCCGTACCCGTAACCCTAACCTTAATCCTAAACCCTGAAACCCTAAAGGCCCTAAACCCCTAAACCCTGAAACCCTAGGGGTTTAAACCCTAAACCCCTAAACCCTAAAACCCCTAAACCCTAAACCCCTAAACCCTAAACCCCTAAACCCTGAAACCCTAAGCCCCTAAACCCTAAACCCTTTGTTCTGTGAGGAGGCAGCGAACCAGCGCCTGGCACGCAGACTTCGCCTGGCAGCCGCGTTCGCAGAGGCGCTGTTTGGGCAGTTTGTGTAAGACCCGGGTCTAAACTCCTTAAAGGGTGGTTATTTAGGGGATTATATGGGGGACTACTACAGGGGTTATTAAGGGGGATACTAAGAGTGTAGACAAGGGTTCATATAGGGGCCTCTATACCCTATGAAAATAGAGTGGTTTCCATTTTCTTTCCATTAGCCCAATATAACCCCTATATAACCTTATATAATGTTAGTAGGGTTTAGGGTTCAGGGTTTATGGGCAAAGTCTGGAGCACGGTTAGCGATTAGCGTCTGTAGGCGGTTAAGGGCTGGGGCTATTAAAGAACAAAGTGGAGAGCCGTCCAGCTGAAGAGGTGCATGCGTATATAGCTCATATGCATTGATACTCATTGTACCTAAAGGGTACTTTAGGGTTTAGGGTTTAGGGTGTTGCCAAATGCGGGCTTCCTGGTAATCCCGGACATCGGAAAAGCACCCCAACATCCAAAGTATAGACGTGGACCCTCATTTTGGCAATCCTCTTGACTCCATGACAGCTGTAACAACAACTGTTCAAAGGCCTGTTCCAGTACTTCCGTAAGTGACCTTCACGGTGCCAAGGTCATTGCTGGTAACACTGGCGTAATCTGTAACTGTAGAACGAGGTTATAAAATCACACGCCCTGTGGTACTGCTTGTGGTAGCGAAAGAATCACAAAAGGCGAGCAGAGTAACAAGAATGCAAGCAAGAAGATAAATACGAGTTGGAGAGTAGGAACAGCGAGTGTCTAGACAGCAAGCGTACCGGTTGTTGCTCATGTTTCTCCTGGTCACACCTTCTTGGGTAGCTCTTTGAAGTGGTGGACCCTTCAACCCATCATTCGCGACACACCCCAATGCCCTAAACCCTCAAACTTCAAACCCTGAACCCTTTTAACCCTGAACATTATGCCCGGAACCCTAAACCCTGAATTGCAAACCCTGAACCTTAACCTTCTACTTTAAACAAGACCTGAGCCTAAGACCCTTAGAGTCCTAACGTCAAAGCCTGAACCCTCGAACATGTACTGTAGTGGTCCCAAAATTATGGTCCTAGGTTTCTTGTATAATGTCTTAAACCCTAAGGCCTAAACGCGTTGGAATGGTACTTCAAATAAACTTCAGCATGCTCTCTATACCATAATCCCTAAATAAGCCCAGTTGCAATATCTTTCTCCATTCGATTCTATATCCACTCTTGTTACTTCTTTAAGCCTCTACAACCCTAAACCCTTAAGCCAAAACCCTAGGCCCCACAGACTGTCTATGACTCCTACATGATCGCCAGGTGCGTAGTCTACTGGTATTTTTTTATTGGAGTAATAGCTCAAAACCCAGAACCTTAAATGGCTTAGTAATGTTCATGTCCTTTGTTCATTTTTTCACTTAGGCTTTCCGTTAATCATGTCGAACAACTTGACTGAACTTCATACATCCCTTGTGACCCTTCTTGAGGCCCACTAACCCAAAGCCCCAAACACTTAACCCTAAACCCTGAACCCTAAACCCTAAACCTTAAACCCTTGACCCTACCCTAACCCTTAACCCTAAATGCGAGGCGCTTTTGGGCAAGGCCATGGCTCCCAGGCCCTTCATGGCTCACTGCGATGGGGTTTGGGGCTTAGGGTGCAGGTTTTTAGGTTCAGGATTTAGAGTTTGGGGTTCAAGGTTTAGGGTTTAGGGTTTATGAGTTAGAGTTTAGGGTTTGGGGCTTAGGGTGTAGGTTTTAAGGTTTAGGATTTAGAGTTTAGGGTTTGGGGTTTAGGGTGTAGGATTTAGAGTTTAGGGCTTGGGGCTTAGGGTGTAGGATTTGAGGTTTAGGATTTAGAGTTTAGGGTTTGGGGCTTAGGGTTTAAGGTTTAGGATTTAGAGTTTGGGCTTTGGGGTTTAGGGTTTTGGAGGTTTAGGATTTAAGGTTTAGGATTTAGGGTTTGGGGTTCAGGGTTCAGAGTTTAGGGTTTGGTGTTTAGGGTTTAGAGTTTGTAGCTTGCTTTAGGAGATACATAGGCTAGATACCCAAGTAGTATCCTAAACCCTAAACCCAAGTGGTACCCAGCACCCTAAACCCTAAACCATTGTAAACCCGAAGCCCCAAACCCTACCGTTTTATTGCTTAGCGCTTCCACAGGTTTTTCGCCTGGAGCTTCTGGGCAAATTATACCGACCTGACCCAAAATTGTATGTTGTTTAAAAAAGAGTCGCAAAAATTTGCTTATTTGAGCTTCTGAAAATAGTAAAAACTAGCCAGCAAAAGCATTCTGATGGTTTAATGTATTTAGGCTTTGGCGTTCGAACTGGGTCAATAGTACCGGGTATAGAATGAAGTCAAATTGCTAAGTAGGACCCTATGCGGTCGTATGATGGTCAAAGGGTCCTGCTTTTGGAGGTTGACCCTCATTGTGAGAAGTACCCGTGAACCTTCAAGATAATCCTTGAAATATTTATGGAACCCTACCCTTGAGTGCCTCTAAGCCCTTGCACAAGGCCAAATAGTCATTGATAGGGATGGGACATGCGCAAGGGAAGGGGGTGTCCTTAAGGGGGAGGGGAGTCTCTCATCCCATCAACATAGGCTGGGCAAACTATGGCAAGGGTTTGTATAGAAGATTGCTCGCAGAACGGCCAAGAGCTTGGGGCTTAAATTCAGGCTCTGTGAGGGGGACCCGCCCGACAAGGGGACAAAAGAATGAAAGCCAACATTCGGTATATATACTGTACATTCTAAGATACGATATGTCTGTTGCTGCTAGTATCATCCTTGTGATTCTTGCAAACGAGCGCTTTTTGCGAGCGGGGTTTGAAGGAATGCGCTATGGGGGTCACGTTGGGATCATGTATGAAGTGTAGGAGACGAACCTATTCCTGCATTCCATGCCGTCAAGAGCAAAGCTAAGGAGCCTAAGAGTTTGTAGGGGTGGCGGAGGTAGGGCTTAGGGTGCTTCAGGAGCTAGGCTATAGGGTTTACGGGGTTAGTGGCCTTCAGCTTAGCGATAATAACCAGCATTATGAGCCGTAATGGCAAACTCAGAATACCAGTGGAAAGAAGACTGCATTCTTGCAGCAGGAGCATGAACAACAGTGCAGATTATGAACAGGTACATGGTTTGTTGGGAAAGGGTTCAAGCTTTCAGCCTGACATTTTGCTGTTTGCCAACGTTCTCAAAGAATGGAAGTTCGCAAATGTAGGCTCCCTAGACTTGCCACATAAAAGGAACCGCATCACAGAGATGTTTGCGCAAAAGGACCCAATATGTTGCTGAACCCTCATGTTCATGAATTGCAGAGGCAACACGCTGCATCCACGCCTTTTCTGATTTGGATTTGAGCTGGGAGTCGAGCCAACCATTCATCCAACTTTCTGTCAGTGCCGTAGTAGCTTGGACCATATGGGAACTTGAGGGCTTAGGGTTTAGGGTTTAGGGTGAGCATTTGCAAGGAGCCAAGTCGGAAGGTCGGCCTCTGTGAGCATTTGCTGGAAGAGGAATTTAACCCGGGACCCTAAACCGTAAACCCTAAATAAAGGGGGGTCATATAATGCTCTAGAGTCTCCTTTAAGGTGTTGAGACCCTAAAGCCCAAATGTCTGACGCTTTGCTATCTCAAGCCAGGGTCTAGTGTGTTTGAGGGCTAAGCTGTGGGTTCTGCCTTAACCCCAAAAGTACGTAAGATAATTGCCTGTTGGGCTGTTCTTAGGGGTCTTGGGCTATTATTATTACCTACTTTTGGGAGTTAGGTAGGGTGGGTGATGGGGTTTCAGGGCTAAAGTGGGACTGGAGATTGTGAAGGTTCACACAACACCAATACCAAACCAGCGCCTGTCATTTGGCACTTAACCCGAAGTTCCAACCCTAAACCCTAAATCCCTAAATCCCTAAACCCTAAACCCCTAAGCCTTAAACCCTAAACCCTAAAACCCTAAACTCTAAACCCTAAACCCTAAAACCGCGCCCAAGCTCTGAAACCCTAAACCCTGAGATGAGTGATGCCTGACAGGTCATTAAAGCGGACCACAGGATGTGAGGCCATGACGTCCCTACCGAAATCTTGAGGTTCAGGGATTTGGGGCTTGTGTTTCGGGTTTAGGGGTTTAAGGGTTTAGGGTTTAGGGGTTTAAGACTAAGAGTATCATAATCTGTGTTGTTCCTTTTGATGCTTGGGGATTTTGATTTGGTGTTCATCCTCCCCGCACCCCGTTTTGCAGGGTTTAGAGTTGAGGTGTTTTCAGCTCAAGGACCAGGATTCAGGGTTTCTACTCCCCCTAGATTAGCATGGGACTTCCCCTAAATAACCTGAATTAAAGGGGGAACCTAGGAAGGGTAGTATAGAGGGGGGGGAGTAGGGGTACCCATGATTTTAGGCAGAGGGTAGGGAGCCAACCCTTTATGGACCCATGTCCTTTCCGGGCTTCAGAGTTTGGGGTTCAGGGGTTCCATGTGTGTTTGGGATTTTTTCAACAAAGAGCACTCATGGCAATAGCAGAAGTAGAACAGGACATGATGCAAGTAATGTGGAAGCCTCTATAATCAGTAATATTGCCTCTTAAAAATCACTCTGTGGTTATGGGACAGTATACAGCAAAACCCGATTGTAATTCTCTAGACCCCTGCATTGTAAAACCCTATTCTACTTATCTAGACACCTGCATTGTTACACATAGCTGTAGATGTGAAAATATTTCGGAGCAAAGGCGCGGATATGCAAGAAGGACTGTAGTAGGCCATGTGAGCTACTGTCAACATTAGCCTTATTAAGGGACCCTTCACCGTGTACATAGGGTTCTCTCGTAGTTTCGTAGAATCCCTGGGATGGTCCCTGAAAAGGAACTCATGTCCATTAAATCGTATAGGAAATATTCCCTAAGCCTGAAACTTTGTAGGAAATATGGACTGTAGCTCATGTAAGTATTTGGAAAACAACCACTGCTCCTGAGCCTAGGCCCTAGAAATCCCCAAACCCTCAAACAAGTAATTAAGATCCTTAAAAACCACCACTAAAACCCCAAATACCCCCAACACCTAAACCATACTTGACCCCCAAAACCATAAGGGTACTTAACCCCCAAAACCATAAACCCTTAATGCCCCCAACCCTAAGAAACCCTACGCACCCTTAATCCCAGCAGCACGAAACCCTAAGGGTATCAACAGAGCAAGAGAACGTAGGTAGAACAAAGCCCAAGTTCCACCTAGGTAATACCTTTAATGTTCGTGTACTTACTGTAGCACACAGCGCTGGTGTTTCGCAATATTCCTCCCTAGCTAGATCTTTATAGGATCCCCGTAAAAGCTGTTTCCATGTTCTTTTCCTTTCCTTCCGTCTCTGGTAGTATACCTGCCTACTCGGAGGGTCAGTGGGGGTTTCATAAGTTCAATGGGAAGTCCCCTAGAATCTCCAAGTAAACGGTCGGAGCCTTAAACACGTAACCTTAAATCCTGAAACCTAAAGCTGCAACTTAACCGTCCTAAACCCTCAATCCTGAACCCTAAACCCAACCCCTAAGGTCCCCTTGACCCTGCAAGCAGAATGCAAGAAATCTCTGCCTTGCTAGGCTCGGAAGGTCAGGAAGAGCGAGGCCCTGGTTAGAAGCTCAGGCTCTAGCGGTTTAGGGGTTTAGGGTTTAGGGGTCTAGGGGTTTAGGGGTTTTAGGGGTTTAGGGTTTAAGGGTTTAAGGGTTTAGGGTTTAGGGGCTTAGGGGTTTAAGGGTTTAGGGT